TTGCCTGCGCTCTGTGCTGAAATGAACTAGCTGTTGATAGCCCCTGAGCTTATTGGCTGGATGGACAAGACCGAGGTCTATCCCCGGTCAGCAAACCGACTCACGACCTGCCGTCCAATTATTTTTCGTTTAATTCCATAGTTAAACTTTTGGGAGCAGGGGTGCCAGTTTGTCATCTGGTATATCTTGAGTGTTTTCACCGTTTTAACCCTAGTTACTACATCTGCATGGGTGGCATATGATGACTCTTTTCCTAGCGTCAAGGTTATCATAGCTAAAGTTTCCTAGATTTTACTAGTTTCAGAGAAGATACAATGATCACACGTACCAACCTACGAACAACAATGCGATCTGGCTCTCTGAAGCTACAAATACAATAAAAAATATGATCAGGTTAAGGCAACATCCGTGGATCGGATCGGCAGAGAAGCTCCTACGTATCAAGAGAACGTCCGACAGCTGGCCCTCGAAGGATCTGAATTGTGGAAGAGAGATCATTAAAAATAATTCATGCGAGGTTGAAAAACGAACACTTACTTTTGGGACAAAGCCCTCGTACATGTACAGAAAGGCTTCCTATGTTACCCACTTAAATGAAAGGCGACATTCCTTGGCTACATATAAAGAGCGTGTAGGAATGCTGAGCGATATATATGTTCTTGAGCAGGACAGCGAGTATTTAAGTTACCTGTTTGGACTTTTCGAGAAATCAAAGTTGTTTTATAGCATATAGTATTAATATACATCTTGTTTTGTGTTTTCTTTACATTTAGAAACAATGTATATATTAGCGTGAATGGTATGTATAAATGATTATTCAGAAATCGTAAGATGCAGTCTGGTGTGATGTAGGTTTCAGAAAATGGTATTGTTTTGTTGTTTTCGATTTCATGTGTAAATTGTATGCGTGGGTGAAAGGTATTAAATGTATCTAATGTAGTTTGAATTTGATCTGTGGGAACTGCTGTCAATACGTATGTATAAATGAGATATTTGGAAGGAATTTTACAAATCGTGTGGGAAATTTAGGAAGTATTTATGAATGAGTGATGTGTGACTATTTCTAAATTTAAAAACGGACTAAAATTGTTGAAAGCCCATGGAAACTAACTTTGGTGGGACGACGGATAAGACCGAGGTCTCCCTGAACTAAAAAGCCCCGAAGTAGGTGAAAGCAAACTCAATACTGTACATTTGTGTGCGGAGTTGAGTTAAGCTTATATAAATCAATTATAATCGTAAGGTCGTTGACAAGGTTTTTCCTGTCTTTCAAGGCATTGCTAAAGTGATTTCTCTGGAGAAATCTACAGGAAAGTCTAGAAATGGACCATTCATAATCTCGAACAGTGCGGGATACCGATAAGAAAGGGTCCAGGATATAGTGACCGACATATTCGGCTGAATAGCGTGCGCCTCTTTAAAGATGATTGGATGGTCATCTATCTATGTAACTATCGTTCTGCAGTGCTTAAACTTGGTCAAAAAGCTCTGCTTCGGATTGGTCTTTTAATTATTAAACCAAAACGCTATTGATTCCAATTGTGTGTTTTTAAGGCTTTCGTAGTCGTTATATCTACATATTTCGTTCTGCTATTTGACTCAGAAAAACAATACGCCGACAAGTTGAAGTTTGTCTTTGACTACCCCCATAATTCAGGAATAGCAACCATTTGTTCCAACAGGAGTAATAATTACGAATATGCCTTTTTGGACGCTGAGTTCTTATTTCCAACTGAGATTCCTCCGTGGATGGGAGACCAAATCCACAAAAGGTAAGCGCATTGTGGCTTTTCTCTAAGCATAAACAATTGGCCATGTCGGCGGTTATTAATGAACACTCGCTCCGCGTTCAATCACCATCCGAAAGGTGTTCCATAAGTCTTCCCTGTCATCGCAGTTACCGAAAGTACGTTTATTGTTCCAGCTGTTGCTGTTGAAAGTACTGGACGTTGTAAATCATTGGCAAAATTTATTGCAAATTGGGGGAATTGTTGTATTTCCTCATTTTTTAGTTTCTCTTTGAAAGTTCCAGCATAACAGAAACTATTCAATGCAATTTAAACACACACCTATTAAAATGCAGCGAGGAAATTGGTAGAAGATTTATTAGCAAATAATTGCACAATTATTTAATTTTAAAGAGGCATTGCTGGATCTCTGCTATATAATCTAGCTATATATTCAGATATATCTTTGTGATTAGAGAAGGACTGTATTAAGATATGGAAAGACGTCGAACAATTTCTTTTTACTTTTGAAAACGAATAGCTGTTTCGAGACATTATCTGATATTTATCTTTGTATTGACATGCTGAATAATCAAATTAAACCACTCAAGTAATATTTTATGCAAGTATGTAAATAGGCATCTATATTTTATTCATATAAATCTAAGTTATCAAGATGATCCGCTTATCTATTCCCAGTGTTTTATTTATTTCCCGATTAGGGTGTGAACGTAGTATCCTGGAAATCATTTAGCTAGTTTACTATAGGCTCTGAAGATGTGCTAGCTAAATTAAGATCAACTGCCTGATAGACCTTACGCAGTGTGGTTCTATGTTACTATCTTCATTACTAATTAAAGCTCTTCGTTAAGTTTAAGGCTTTTTACCCCGTGTATATCATTCAGGCCTTAGCTTTTATTCTCCCGGGAGTAGGCATCTCAACCTCCATTGACTTTCGCACTAACAAAACATTTTCCTCTTCTTCTTCTTATTCCTAGCAATATCTAAACAGGCTTGTTTCTGCGAGTCCATAAATTTACCTCCAAAGTGTTCAGTCAGCAGTCCTATTATCAGTCCTTGGTTTAGCAGTTCTGCCGTTAATTTCTATGATGGTCTATTGATGAACTTTTTCGCACATATGTGTTCTGGAATATATTTCCATTGAGCCGAGTTCTTAGGATATAAGTCCTTGCGCACACATGTGTTGTCAATTTTTTTTTTTTTACGAGGGTTCGCAACAGCAGAGGTTATATCACCCCTTGGGGTGCCGGTATTGAAAAATAGCCCATTTGTAAGTGCAGCGGCCCTGCATTCGAACCCGGGACCTTTACCTTACAGTGATGGGCGCCGTGTCAACGTCAAAACCGTTGCGGCCACCGACGCACCCAGTGTTGGCAATTAGTCATCATTTTAAATATTTATATTTTAACGGTCTATGAATTCTTCGAATGATTTACCTTTGGTGCTGTTAATTCATTCAAAGTAATCTAATATAATAAACTCTGGAAGCGAGGGAATTTTTATCGGGAGATATTTTATTGAAGTTTGCTAGGTTATTAACTGTTTGGTCCTGTCATCAAGATCCGCCTGGCTCGCTAGTTTCGTTTGCCAGTCGCAATTCAACTTTTCACCAACTTTAGTGGGGTTTTGGTGAGTTAATTTAGTTGATATGAGTCTTTTTTTTACGTTTGTAAACAGTAAAGGTTGGAAGGGCGGTGATTGGTGCTATTTTTGTTTTCTCAATGGCATGGATTGTCATTTTGAGTGTGTGTGTTTTAGGCGGTTTATGTCCGGCATTTCGATATCTTTGGTGTCATGTAGTGTTTTAAATTTAGTAAACGATGTGAGCGAATTTTTATTGATAAACGTGTTGCTAATTGTCTAGTATAATATAAATTTTGTCTGTATATCTTGGAATGTTTCTAGCATGTTCATTTTTCCTCATGTAGTACGTCACGCATCGTTCAATTATAAACTTCTGAATTGTTCATCTTAGAGTTTGTCTTAATTTTTATGTGAGGTGTATTGCGTAGTTTTATTGTCAATTGTTGTCCTAAAATGATCGGACCTATTGATTTAATCTGTCTTTTATTTTTTTACCAGTCTGCTTTATTTAGTTTTCCACTTACTCATAAGTTAACAATATATACAGATTTTATCTAGCGGGTTTGTCTTGTAGATGATTTTGTATGCAATGATAGATGATTTTGAAATGTAGCTGTTGTTGTATGTAATGTTTTAAAATTGTTTTATTGTTAATCATGGTTTTTTTGTATTTTTCGTTATTTATTAGCGATATTTTAATCTCCCCGTATTATTAATTGTTGGATTTCCAAGATACTACCCTATTCTATCTTACAAGACATTTAACCAACTGTATGCAATTGCTTTTGTTTAAAAATGGAAATGGACCCTAGACTCGTTGATGTTGCCAAAACAACAGAACAAAAGAAAAAGCCCTTGAAATTCCAAACACAGTAAACGTACAGCTAAAAAAAGCACTCTCTAAAGCTATCAAACCCATTGATACAGTTAAACATAGTAAAACTTGTTGAATTGAGCTCACGAACAAACAACGAAGTACAATAAGCCACACATCTGCAGTGCTTGGTGAAAAACCAATTCTAATATCCTCATCATCACCATTATCACCACACCATGTATGCCAGTGTTGTATTTTTTATGCGAGTATGTCATCATACAATTCACAAATATGTGTCATCAAATGTCACAAGAGCCTATGTGTTTTCTTCTTAATCTATAATAATTATTTCTTCTTTGTAAAGTTTTTTGAAAAATATTTTAGTGATTATGGCTGAAGGGTAGTTTTTAAACCTGATTTATTTGATTATTCAGTCTATTTCTGAGGTTTGTGTGTTCTTCGGTTATTAGTTAATTATGTTTATTAGCCGTTTTTGTATAATAATAATGTTCAGAATTATGGTATTTTCAGTGGTTAGTGGTGTTGATTTTCATCTGTCATATACTTACGTTAAGTGGTTTTTAAAAGCTTCTCTTCAGGCACCCTGCTGGTTTCATCAATATCGTCTTAGGGCACTTCATTGATCCGCTAAAAGTTATGTACTTGTATTTATGTCATTTAGGTCCAAACTCTCAAACAGCTAAAGATTTAGTTCGACACACCGTTTCATGAAGTAATCCATTCTTTTTTACATAGACCAATCGTTCACGTCGCTCAATCTTCCTTCGCTCTTAACTTTTAGATTGCACGTGATTTTATGGATTAATTTTTCAAAATGTTTTCTGTTTCAGACACAACGATCTTCCATGGAACATCAGGAAATTCGTACACAATCGTCTGAACGAATTCAGATTTGGTGAGGATTTACGAGGAGTACCGCCTTGGTCGCTCAGCGCCTGGTCGCACACAGATCTGCTTCGGCTCCGCGCTGGACAAGTCTCAGCTCAGGTGCTCATTACAGATATATTACTGAGACGTATTCATTTCCCAGAAATAATGTAAAATTTTACTTTCATCTTCATATTTATATGATTTACTACTAAAGTGAAAGTACAAAGCTTTATATGCCAATATTTTTCAACCGCAAGTATGTATATATGAATATATGTATATATGAATATCAACCGATATTTTGCGTCATGACGTCATCAAAACTAAAAGATTTTTATTTGTTTGAATTTTTATATCTACTTTATGACGACAATTTATTTATATTTGTAGGAAGAATCCAGAATTTTGTTAATATTGCAAACCCTTAGCAAATAAACTATCCCTATTTCATATTTACTGTTATCTGGAATTTTTAAAAAGCTTAAGATTGTCATTAAAGTCTAGATTGCTCAAGAGCAGCTTTCCTATGCACCATAGCTTTTTTTCTAGCTATCGCAGGCCAAGGACCGCAGGATATGTTCTGTTATCTTCTCGATATAGTCGATATGGGTCATCGTCGTCAATAGTCATATTTTTAAAGTGGTATTTTACTAGAGCAACTTTACTTGCCTTATCCCTTATTGTTTTCTTTGGTCATGCAAGATTCTAGTTCTGTTTTAACGTAATAAAAAGAATTTGAGCCTATATGTTGTTACGAGACTTCCATGATAGCCTGAAATATCTTCATGACCTGAAACCCATCTTTGAGTTGATCTGGCAGGTTTGTAGAACTGTAGTTTGTGTCTGATAGTATTATTATCGCAGCGCCCTTCAGATTATATATTATGCAGGGTGGGCGACCAAAACCCGAGGGGTTAAATGCCTGGGTAGACTCGTACCCCCTCCCTAAAAGGTCCGGGACTTGGTCGGCTCACGTCCTGCATAAACCTCTTGGACTTGTTCACAAACCCCAAGATTTTGGACCATTTTATCTCGGGGAGTGATTTGGTGATGTCCTCTCCTTCAAAGATTTCGAATCTAGACCTAGCATACCTATCACACTCTGCGAAGTAGTGCCTTGCCGTTTCTTCTTTTATTTCGCAGAAGCGGCAAAAGGGATCTGGTAGGATACCCATTACGAAGAGGTGTCTTCTCAGTGGGCAGTGGCCCGTCAGAATACCTATCAGCCTCCTAATTCCCTTCCTTGAGATAGCTGGTTTGATCGCCTTAACAAACTCTTTCGATTGCCTTGTCCGGGGGATCAATTCCACTCCCTAAGGAATTGTTTCATGCCCCAGTTACTGATACTCTCTTTCGCTGTGCTCATAGAATGATACCTCACCGGTTGTGGCCCGACAAACGCAGTATTAGAACCTTCTTTGGATAGGCCATCCGCCTTTTCATTGCCATGGTGTCCTTTATGTGCTGGTATTTAAATAAGGGTTACCTTATTCTCAAACCTGAAAGAGATCCTATTGATAAGATCTATAGTTTCCTCCACCAGTCGTGAGGTTGACAGATCTTTTTGTAATGCCCTAAGACTAGCCTGACTGTCAGAAAAGATTTTAATATCTTTTCCCTTAATTTTATTGTCCATAAGTGTTCTACAACCCACATTGATGGCCCAGATTTCCGAAAAACGGAGGTGTTATTGCCAAGAGGGGAGGAGATGCTGATTCCTAATTTTGGTATGTAGATGCCTGCACCACTCCCTCTTCATTTGATAAGTGATCAATCTATGTTATGATGGTCATCATCCAGCCTATAATTATAATCACAAGAGGTGACTACCTGAAAGTGCTTTTCCCCGAAGGGGTTTTAATCTTTTTATCACTAACGCTTAATAATTGACCGTTAATCTTACTCAATAGTTGTGAGATTTTCAAGTGACCTATGTTGTTGCACTTATGATTCCAGCTGCCCTCGCTAATTAATCTGTAGCAGCTGATTAGTGCTCTGACCTTAACATCAATGTGAAGGGGTGTGGTATTGCTTATGATTTCAAGAGGTGGGTGTAGTTGAAAATGCTCCTGTCATCATCAAACAACCTCGTCTTTGAAATGACCTTAATTTATTACTATTCCCTTTATTTTCTAGACCTTTCCACCACACTAAAGCTGCGAAAAAGAATCTAGGTAGAATAATTGCAGTATATAGCCATTTGCTACCCATGGTTTGATGCCCCATGTTTTACCGACAATTCTCCTACATTGTACCATTGATATAGTGCCTTTCCTGTCTATGTGTATATGTTATTAATATGACCTTTCCAATCAAGTTTCCTGTCAAGTGTCACACCAAGGAATTTGATGGAATCCACTAACTTTAATTCTATGCCCTGAAATTTAGGGTTTTTAAAATTACCTAATGTTCTTCTCCTGCTAAACATTATCAATTCTAATTTAGCAGGATTAATTGAAAAACCTTTGTCACAACACCACCTACAAAGCAATCCCATGGCGTTTTCCATCAGTAGTGAAAGAGTCAAGGGATCCCTACCTGTGAGCATTATGGTACCATCATCTGAAAATAATTGACTGTAGAAACCTGAATTATTCAGAAGTTCTATTAAGCTGTTTACTGTAATTAGCCATAAAAGAGGTGACAAACAGCCTCCCTGTGGAAAGCCTCCTTTTACATTAATTCTAAGAGTGCTACCACCTAAGCACATATTGACCATCCTCCTCTCCAAGTAGGTCTTCACCCATCTAGTAAGGTGATCGTCGACATTGTAATTATCTAATGCTGATATAATGCAAGAACTTCAGATTATATAGATAATTATTTATTATTTTAGTGTTTATATTTATTTATAGATATTTTCTATAAGTGGGCTTGCAAAAGCAGAGGTCATATCAACCCCCAGAGTGCCAGGGGTTTGAAAAAAGCCCATTTATAGTATGTTGTAATTATGTCGGGTTCGTACTCGAGACTTTTACCTTACAGTTATGAGCGCCGACAACGCCTTAACCGTTACGACCACCTACGCCCGGGTTTTTAAATTATTTTAAGGGTATAAGTTCATTTGGCTGTTGACTTTGCTTCGGGTGGAGTCGAAGGCTATATAATTAGGCCCATTTATGCTCATTCCCGTACTATTTCTTATCAATGAACAAGTGTGTACAATAGAAGAGCTCCAGGTTTTTCTTCTTTTGCTTGATCTTTCCATTTTGCTGTTTTTTCAATAATTATGTTGAATGTTTTGTTTCGTTTTTTAAAAGAAAAAAATACAAGGAGTTTTAGAGACGTTTTGAATTGATCGCGTAGCCTCTAAGTTTACTCGGCATCCCAACATGCCAGGACCCGATCGAATGCTTGCGTAACGTCGAGAAAAACAACCGGGCATCACAGTTTTTTCTTTCTCATAGGAGTGATAATGCGTTCAACACGGTGGCAATGTTGAACCGTAGAGTGCCGACGTCGGAAACCAAACTGATGATCAGGGAGTGAATGAAGGGAATAAAGTATTGGATAAAGAGGTTGCATGAGGAGTTTTCAAAGATCTTTCTCATCTAGGGTAGATCTACTTACACCTTTTAAATAGTTAAAATATTACAAATTAATAAGGAAACCAAAGATCAAAAATAGAACATTAAACAACTAGAACAATCAACAACACTACTTAATCCATAAACACACTGAAAAACATACTATCAACGCAAACAATACCCCTGATACAATCCAGGCCCAAAAATAACTAAAACTTCACTCCACAGAAATCACCTAAACTCAACAGCAAAGATGGCGAAATGCCGAAACACGTCTGACTGACAAAATGAGGGAGGGTAGGCAGACCAGGATAGGTAAATATCAAACATTTGTTTAATTTTATTTTAAAACGTCTATCAGCATTGCATTTCTTTAAATTACACACTTCAACAAATTATTCATAGCAATGTACATTTCTTGTAAATCGTTGAATAAACAAATTTATGAATTAAACACACAAAAAAAGAACCACTCAACTTCATTTCTTGTATATAGTATTTATGACCCCCCCCCCACTTCAATCTTATTGTTGCAATTAAGAAGCTTGCTGTTGTACCCCAGATTTATCTCTAGGGCGCTAAACTCCAGCGTTAATTTTAAACTTTCTGCTGTAGTCTTAAATAAATAAAGTTTGTGAAAGAGTGAGAGAGAGGGAAAGAGAAAATGCGACTTCGCCCTTTGGCCAAAGGAGGACGAGGCCTTACAGTAAGTCTTTTGAAAAATAGCTTCAACTCACAACATTCTGTGCCAGGACAATTTTTACACAGAAAATATTAGAGCCAAACGAGGCGAGAATTTACAGAAGAGATTCCAACCGCGTTGCGATGACAAAATTTGACGAATTTAAACGGAATTTACATTCATAGCGGGAAAATGTCTAAATGTCTTATAATTTACGGTAACCATTTTTCTTAGTCTACAGTATTGAACTATTTCTGAACAAGTTTACAAACAACAATTAACAACAGCTCAATTGCGTTTCTGTCTTGTTTCGGAAGAAAAGTAGTTCTGTTACGTGCTTTCCGTTTAAATGGGAATCATTGGCAACATCGAACAAATTTAGACGTTTTTACAAACACATTTCAACGACCGGAATCACCGGATTTGTTTGGGATTTGTTATTAGTAGAGTCGAGAAAAAACTTATAAATAACAAAAATGTGCATTTAAAATAACCGGGTTGCTTTAGAAAATATAAAATATATATTTTTTACGTATTTTATTTGTAGCCTGTATATATCATAATAAACGTGCAAAATGTTTGCACAAAAGTGTCTTTACCCGTCACAACAAAGACAATATGAGTACCCTCGAGTCGAATCCATCGTCGTTTAAGGCAACGTGGCAAGTTATCCGCTTAGGAAAACGTTGAGAGGATTTGGGCAGTAGGATTAGGATTGGTCGAAATATTAGTGTAGAACTTTTAGATGCGAGGTTGGATCAGTTCGTTGCCAAAAGGAATGTTGAAGTTGTTGTGGATAGTGAGGGTAAGGAACAAAGTAATTTGACAATTTTTCTGAAGACATTTAATTGAAAAGATTGGATGCTGGATATTGGATGGCTTGTCGGAACCCCGCAGTTCAACACCGT